TGTATAAGAGACAGGCCCAGGACCAGGACTCTCAGTATGTCTGCTTCACCCTGGTGCTCTCCGTTCCCCCCCAGGTAGGCTGTCGGCCCCCCACGCCCCCTTTCCTCCCCACCTTCCTTTTTGTCTTTGGGTGTTTATCTTTTTTTTTTTTTCCTAGTATCCCAACAAAGCTCCGGAAATCTCGATCAGAAACCCGCGGGGCCTGTCAGATGAGCAAATCCAAAAGTGAGTCCCGGGAGGGCAGGCTGAGGGTGAGCCTTTCCTCTGAAGATGCAGAAGGCAGAATTAGTGGAAAAGCCTTCTTTCAAATTCATGTTTGTGGTTAACAGATGGGTAAAGGTCCCTAAATCACCTTGTCTTAAATCTCATGGGAGCCACTGCTGCTGAGTTTGACACCTAGTGGTCCACCCTATGGTTATTTCCCTGTGATTCCCCTGACATGTAATCTAAATCCCTATAGCTGTTGAAGCAGTTGGTCCTGCTTTGACAGAGGTGAGACTGAACCAAGTCCTTGGGCAGCCCATTGTTGCCTTTGTGCTCCTGTCCTTGGTGCAGCAGAGTGTGTGCAGAAAGACCCTGGTACCTGCTGGCAGCACAGGAGAAACGCAGCTCCCAGCAGACCTGCTCAGAAGCTGCCATCAGATAAACGAAGCCTGAGATTCACCAAAACCAAAGGGTGCTGGGTGACCTTGATCTGAGGCAGGCAGCAAGCCTGCTCTTGCAAGCCCTCCGAGGACAAAAGCTTTCTCTGCACCAGCTTGTGGGGAGCTGGGAGAGCACGTGTGCCCATCCTATGCTGCAGGCAAAGCCTGAAGGCCAGTGCCCTTTATCTTCCTCCTGTCATCGTGGTGGGGTGACAGGTATGTGGGGTAGTGAAAAGGTGTGGCTAAACTTTTATTAAGCATTTCTGCTGCTTTGCTGTAGGATTTCCCAGACCCTCAAAAGTGTTGCTGAAGCCAGGCTGGGGACAGAGGTGCTCTATGAACTGATTGAGGTGAGAGTTGAGAGAGACTGGGGGTGACCAACCACAGACCTTGGTCCTTTACTGCCCAAGGGGTGGGACAGCCCTGAGCCTATGGACAAGCCAGTGGGTAAAACATTTGCTTTAATGCTTCTGCAGAAAGGGAAGGAGATTCTCACCGACAACAACATTCCTCACGGCCAGTGTGTGATCTGCCTCTATGGATTCCAGGTAGGCACATGTCTTCTGCCTCTGCCAGCTGGCTGGGAAGTGAGGAGCTGGGGATATCAACCTGGGACTGGGGTGTGCTGCGGCAGCCCCCTCCTCCTTTGGGTCTGTAGGCAATCCTACTGAGTGTGAACCTTCCCAAGACCATATGCACTACTCTCCCTGTCAGCCTGAAGATAACCACATACAGAAACAGGGCATAGGGCAGAGAGTGATGCCAGAGCATCTCCAAGGGGTGGGGTCTAGGCATAGTTGGTGGTGCATCTAAGCTTCCCTGTGTTGGTCACACCTCACCTGGAGTTCAGCACCCAGGTGGTCGGGAGGGACTGGAACACATCTGTGCAGGTGCTGAGGTCTGTGGGGACAGGGCAATTTGCCTTTTCCAGGTTGCAAGGAGAGGCAGTGCTTGCTTAGGATGGAGAACATACCAGCTGGGAAGATTGCTGCTTACACAGGAACATGTGCAGAGAAATCAGGCATAAAAACTGTGCATCTTGATATTAGGAGTGTTCCTTACACTCGGAACAGAGAGCATTACCCCAGTGAGAACTGAGGAAGTAGAGATGATGGCCACCAGATGTTACGTGGCTCTGTCAGCAGTAGCACTAGTTCCCCACTGCCAGTGCTGACATGGGAGTGAAAACCCACCTCAGCTGGGGATGCCACACAACCCTGAGCTCAGAAACCCTTTAAAGCTGCCATTTCTCTTCTACAGGAGAGAGAAGCCTTCACAAAGACCCAGTGCTACCACTACTTCCATTCCCACTGCCTGGCCCGCTACGCCCAGCACATGGAGGAGGAGATCCTCGTGCAGCAGGAGGAGAGAGAGCAGCACCTGGCGCCATCCCCCAAACAGGTACCAGCCCCTGTGCTCCCTCCTGTGGTCCCCTGCGCAGACCTTCATGACGTCTCTGCCACCCTGTTCAGGACACAGAGTGAGGGCTAACCTGACCCGGCAGCACCGTCAGTGTCACGCCTGTACCAAGAGTCAGAGTGAGGATTAGACCAAGTGATCTCCAAGGGCCCTTCCCAAACAAAACTACCCTGTGGGTTTTCAGTACTTTAGCAGTTGTTATATTGGATGTCTGGGTCAGCACCTGCTGTGTGAAGGGGCAGAGGAGTTGCATTTTTGGTCTTCTTGAACTTCATGAGTTAGAAAAAAGAGCTCCTTCCTTAGTCCTTGAACTGCAGGTCATGGGATAAACATGATCATCTGTGTTCTGGGGTGATAAAACCTGCCTGAGCAGTTGTTGATACAGCTGTCAGCTGTAGAGCAGTGTATCTGAGCGTGAAACAAGTCAGAGGCTCCTTCCTGCAAAAACCCTTCAAAGAGGTGCTGCCAAGATGACACGCTCTGCTTTGGAGTGGAGAAAATAGGTCTTGGGCTAAGGAGGACTGAAGCCATACGTGCTGACAGAAGTGGTTTGTACAGTGGTCAGCTGCTGGAGCACAAACCTCAGCATGCCTTGTGGTGGAGACACCTTCTGTAGCAGTCATTGAGACACCAGGCTGCTTTCATGCTGCTGGAACCCACCCTGGGCTTCCCTGCCCTGGCAGAAGAGTGAAAAAGGCCACCCTGTTCCAGGCGGGGGTTATTCAGTAGTGCGTTCCTGGGTCACAGCCAGGGTTTGGTATCACCTCTTCCCTCCCCACAGGAGGTCGGTGTGCAGTGCCCTGTCTGCCGGGAGACACTGGTCTACGATCTCTGTGCTCTGAAGGCAGCACCGCCCCCGCAGCACCCTCTGGTAAGAGATGGGGATTCACTGGCCCAGCTGCACCCACTCTGTGGGTAGCTTCAACTGGGACATTATAACAGACGAATGAATGTATGCTCGCAGGTCCTTCTAGATGGCCCATCCAAAGGGCAGTTCACAAAACCCAGCGGGGTGTCTCCTGATTCTTTGATGTGTCCACAAAGAGCAGGTTTAGTTGTACAGCCCTGAGTCTTGGGCAGATGTGCTGGGGGAGACGTGATTCTGCCATGGGGCATGTCCCTGTACTCACTGGGATATAGTCAAGAGTCAGGAGTGACCTGACTGCTCTTTGTCTTGCCCTGCAGCAGGACGTCCCAAGGCAGTCACAGCAGTGGGGACAGTGGGTCTGCGCTGGTGTGCTCTACCTCTGTCTAGGGATTTCAGGTGCATCTGTAGTGTGACCAGCAGAAGTAGGGAGGTGATAGTCCCCCTGTACTCTGCACTGGTGAGGCCACACCTTGAGTATTGTGTCTGGTTTTGGGCATCTCAATACGAGAGAGATATCAAGGTGCTGGAGTGAGTGCAGAGGAGGGCAGTGAAGCTGGTGAAGGGCCTGGAGAGTAAATCCTATGAGGAGTGATTGAAGGAGCTGTTTAGTTTGAGGAGGAGAAGGCTAAGGGGAGACCTCATCACTCTCTACAAGTACCTGGTGCTGGTCTCTTCTCACAGGTAATTAGTGACAGAAAAAGAGGGAATGGCTTTAAATTGCAACAGGGGAGGTTTAGACTGGACATTAGGAAAAAATTTTTTGAAGAGTAGTCAGACAGTGGAACAGGCTGCCCAGGGAGGTGGTGGAGTCACCATCCCTAGATGTGTTTAAGGGTCGTTTGAACGAGATGTTGGGGGATATGGTGTAGGGGAGAACTTCAGAGTAGGGCTGTTGGTTGGACTCGATGATCCCAAGGGTCTTTCCCAACCTGAATGATTCTGTGATTGTGTAGGCCTGGTCAAAGGCAGCAAATGGAAGCGGGTTGCCTGGAACTGTGTGATCAGAGGAGGGTTTGGGGAGTAGCTGTTAGCACGGCCAGCTGCTTACCTGTGCTAGGTGTTGAGAGAGCCCTTACTCTGCCTTGCTTTCTGCTGCTCAGGAGATGTACAGGCCGGATGCCAAGATGCTGCAGCAGCAGGAAGAGCTGCGCTTAATTTTCAAGAGACAGCAAGAGAAAGGGGGCATCATTGACCCTGAAGCAGAGAGGAACCGTTACTTCATCAGCCTCCAGGCGGTATGGCACTGGGGGCAGAGACCTGGCGAGGGGGGCCCTGGACTGCAGGACCGAGTGCTGTCGTCTGCTGTGGGACTCCCCTGTGCCTTTCTTCACCAGTGGCTTCTTTCTTTCAGCCTCCAGCTGCTGTTGATCCAGGCAAAGCAGCTGCTGCCTCTGAGCTGCCGGTGAGTGCAAGCGCTGTGGACGTGCCCCAGCCGCCCAGCCAAGCCTTGGCTCCAGAGCCAGCCAGGGCGCCGGAGGCCCAGGCAGAACCCGGGCAGCCTCCTGTGCCCAGAGAGCAACAGAGCAAGAGGGAGAGGCACAGAGGGGAGAGGCTGGGCCCCAGAGGCCAGGGCAGGCAGTCATGCAGTGGCTTGCAGGAGCCGGCAGAGGAAGTCTGTCATCCACTCAATGGCTCCAGGGTGCCCAGGGGCTTCAGCCGGAGACCGGAGCGGAGACCCAGTGGGAGGCACAGCCAGGAGTTCCCCAAACCTCCCAGCAGAAGCAGGGCTGCAGCCTTGGCTGAAAGAAAGGAGTTGTGCCCTGAAGACCCTTCCCCAGTAACAGAGGTAGTGGACTTGAAAGAGGAGCACTGTGACGTGAAGAGATGGACCCAGGAGGAGGGGGCTGAGGCGCAGGGCAGGGAGAAGGAGAACCTGGTGTTCAACCGCAGCGACCACAGAGCAGCTCCCAGCTGGCAGGGCCACCACCGGCCCTGGGACTGTGGGAGGTGGGATAGGTCCAGAGTCCAGGAGCGTGGTTCCTACCCCAGAGCGCCAAGAGGGCGAGGGGTGTTCAGGCCCAATGGACGACGAGAAGCCCATCTCCTTGAGAAGGAGAGCGGCTCCTAGCAGGAGTGGTGAGGAGCTGGGCTGGGGGAGGAGGGAAGAGCTGTTTCTGGGGAGAATCGTGAAGGCTCTGGTGGAGCAGTAGCAAGCAGACACCATACCCCTGGGGAGGGAGGAGGCAGTTGGCATGTGGCACAGCTTGGGACAGGCAGCATCTCCAGAGTATGTGCAGAGTGAAGCATCCTGGCATGAGTGACTGGCTGTCACTAGCATTGAAGAAGTTGACTCCTGACAGATCACTTCAGCCTTGGGTCTCAGAGGACCCAGGGAACAGAGGAATCCTTGACCAGGGACCTGCAGTCATCACCCCTGTATGTGAGCTGCCAAGAAACATGCATGCCTACAGAGCAAATGGACTGAGCCCAGCGTGGTGCCATGGCAGAGCCCGAGGGGTGGGACCTTCCCTGGAAGACAGTGTCCCAGTGGAGCCATGGTGGTGCCAAGTGATGAGGCTGTGCTGGTCATTGTGTCCCCCGTTCCTTCTCAAAGCACCTTCTCAGCTGCTGTCCCTGTCCCTTGGAGACAACATCACTTCTTCTCTAGCCCTGACCATTCAGCTGATGGGCTCAGCCAGGCAAGTCTGTTGTACAACAGGACATTTCCCAGTCCCAGCCAGAAGAGATAAATTAAGCTTAGGTCAATGCATTGGCAGGTCAGGGCTGGCTGAGGCTTTGGGTTGGCTCCTGCTCCCCCAGGAAGCCTGAATTTAGCTGGAGCTCCTGCCCTATCCTTCAGCTACTTTTTGCAGGCAGAAGCTGTTGGAGACACCTGGGAAGAGCACTCTGCTTTCCAACCTGTATTTGTTGGGATCCCCCTCCAAGGCCAGGCTGTCTCTTGAAACTTCCAACAGCCCAGAATGAAGACATGATGCAATATTTTGGATACTCTTACCCTCCTTTCATCTTCAAGCTGATCTTGCTTCAGAGAAATGAGGATTTATTGTCTAAACTAGTTTGGTGCAGTTCCTTCTGTTGTTGCTTCACATATTTAAAGTGTCTCATTCCAAAGCAGTGCTGGGTGATCCCAAGCCTCTGAAGTGGGACACTGCCGTTAAAATAATTTGTTGGGTCTTCTCTGGAGCCTGTTCCCTTTGTTTTCTTTGCCCTCTCACTCCTGTCCTTTGCTGTTTGGAGCAAAGGTGTTGATCCCTGGTATTCTCGCTCCCCTCCTTGCTCCCTACGCCCAGGGCTGGGGCAGAGACCTTCCCCTGGCACTCCTGGGTGGCAGGAGGGCTCCCTGGTCCCTGCTTTGCCTGGCTCAGTGTAAGCTGCCTGACTCACCCAGACAGTACCAGTTCCTTCACACTTGTTTGTGCCTTGTGCCCCCACCTCTCTTTTGGCCACATGTGGGTTGTTACTGTCTTCCTTCTCCTGCTGAGTGCAAAAATGGCTGCACCATGATGGGCTTGCCAGAGCCTTGGGTGAGATCCCTCCAAAACCAAGGGCTGTGTGCCACCTGGGAGGGCATTTGTGCTGTATCTGCCAGGCTGATCCTTTGGCACACAAAGGGTGCACAGAAGCTCTTTTGAACTTGCTGCCCTGCACTCTCCACACCTGACCTTGTCCTGAAGGGGTTGGTTTAACGTGCTGCCCAAGAACCATCTGTATTTCAGTTTCCCAAGACTGGCTTAATACTCTAAAAGCATTATTTTTTTTTTTTCCCCTCCTTGGTCTGAGCCTACACTACCTGTCCTGGGCTTGGAGATCTCAGAGCCAGACATTGTGCCCTGCTGGGGACAAAGGCTGAGCACTCGCTCCCTGATTTTTATTCAGTGCTCACTCTCCTTGTTCCAGCTGGTTCCTGGGCAAATGACCTGTCCACATTTGGGTGAAGAGGTGTAAACTTGACATTGGTGCTTGTTCTACTGCCTCCTGTGTTCACTCGTGAAATTGCTGTGCTCCAAGAAAGGCATTTGATTATTACCTGAAAGAAACACGAAGATCTCTGCCCCTCACAGCAGCTGAAGCTCCTTCACCTCTTCCTAAGCCAAGCTTACTCTCAGCAGGAAAGCTGCTGTGCTGTGTTTGGAGCATGGGAGTTCAGCCATGGAAATTGGAGTGAGTGAAGACTTGGGTAACTTCAATCAAATGCCAGACACGTTAGAGTGGACATTTTTTCCTGGGAGTAGAGTTTTAGGAAGGCCCCTCACCTCTCTCCCTAACTGCTGTCAGCCTAGAGCAGAGGACATTTTGCAATTGTGTGGAAATTAATTTGGGCTAAACAAAACAAACCTCCAGGTCAGAGGAAAGGAATGGAGCCTGCGCCCTGCCCTGGGGCTCCTTGCTTGGTGTCTGCCTGTGTTACCCACCTACCTCACAGGGCTGTTGTGAGGCTTAACTGGCAAAGGGCACCGGTGGAGGCTGTAGCATTAACACTATTAAAAGCAAGCAGTGAGAGATGTTGCATGTGTTCTTGTGTGGTGGCATCGAGCCCCTCTAGCTCTCTTTCCCCACTACCCCATCCTTGTGAACTGCTTTAAGACATTTGCAGTCACTCACTGGCCCGTTTTGACCCCCAGCTTTGACGGAGGAGGCTGGATCCAAGCAGTCAGCCTCAGGGGGACAGACAAGCACAGGGTTTGAGATGCCAACAGCACCACCCTGCTCCAGAAGCCACCCTGAGTCACTAGAGACATCCCCCACCCCCCACCTCCATGACCACAGGATCAGCCCTTCACTTGCAGAAACATGTGCAAGTCCAGGATTGCATCAAAGCAGTGCCTCTTTGAGCTGAAAATCAGCCAGGTGTTATCAGCTGGGCCTCTTCGTATCCCCTGCAGAGACTCAACAGTTTGGGTTTGGTGTGGTACCAGCTCCCCCAACCCTACCAAGATAATGCAGACCCCAAAGCGAGGACATGAACTTGGGGCTGGCTCTGGGGAAGTTGATTTTGGGACTCTGGGACTGGGACTGGATTGGGGAAGAGGCTCTGGCTGGGTTGTTCTGTGGGTCAGCATGCACACCCTGACCCCTGGCTCCATGGCATTGGGAAGGAGATGCAAAATCTGCCCACTTCTCAATTGCATTTCAGGCACCTGTGGCTCTACCAGTCCATCCAAGGACTTTTGCTCCTGGCAGGAAGGAAGCCCAGTGACAGGGAAAAGGCTGCGAGACTGCCAGCAGCGGGCCAAATCCCTCCTTCAGCCACACAGGCCCTCACCTGCTGGAACAGCCTCACCTACTCAAAGGAGAGCAGTTGTCACCTCCAAGGGGCATTTCTGCACCTTGCACAGGGCTGGCCTGGCAACAAAAATTCACATTAGGGTTAACATCAAGCTCTCAGGAACATATTCTGTAACCAGCCAGAGCCTCTCATCTGCCCCCACATGCAGGCCTGCAGTAGCTCAGGGCCCCACACCTCCTCCTCTGACAGAAGGGACAGTCATGTCCACTCGGGAACAATGTCCAAGCAGATCTGTTGGCATCACAACCCAGCAGGGCAGGAGCTGTGGCACCAGCCTGCAGCCCGAAGGACAATGAGCTGTCTCTTGGGAGCTGCTTTTTTCTGAAACACTCTGGATTTGCAGTACTGGCTGTGCCAGGCCCTGGTCAGGAGGGCTCTGGACCAGCAGTTGGATAGTGGGGCAACTAACAGGCAAAGGGACCAGAGATGCGAGAGCTTTTCCAGAGGATATTCACAAATTAGTGAAGACTATTGTCCCATCAAAGACCAGGAGCTCTTTATCAATGCAGTACCCCAATGTCCTGCCCCAGAGAAATGCCCTTCTGGGGCACCTCCAGGCTGCCCCGCAAGGAAAGGGAGTCACATCCAGGAGCCTTGGCAGCTTAGGGCAATCCCAGCATGAGGCACACACTGGTGAGCAGGGCCAGTGCAGCAGCACCCGAGTGTGGGGAGCAGCAAGAGCCAATTCCCTCTCCATGCTGCAAGGCTGGCAGCTCTGACTCTCCCCGTGTTTTAAGAAAAAGTCAAAACCTTGGTGAGGAGAGGTGAAGAGACCTGGCCTGCATGGCTGGGCAGCTTCATGGCATCCCCAGGATGGTCACATCCTTGTCCCAGTCCTCTCAGCGTGGCAGGGGAAAGCTGGCCCCTGGTCACAGCAGGATGGAGCGTATGTTTGAAATGGCTCCTTCAGGGTCCATCTTGTAGAGCATGAAGTGGCCCTGCACCTGGGCAGCACTGATCTGTTTGGAGACTGCTAGTGCCTGCTCTGCAAACCGCTCAGCTGCAGCCGGTGGCTGCTCGGGGTAGAAGCGCTGGAACATGCAGGCAAGCTGCCAGCGGGAGCAATGGCCCACGTACTGCTTGAGATCCACGCGGCCGGGACGCACCAGGGCTGGGTCCAGCCTGTCGAGAGACACAGCAGGTCTTGAAAACCTGATCAAAGTGTCTCTGCAGGGCGGGTCCTGCAGGAAGCACCCCCCTCCATGCTAGCACAGCCAGTGTCCTATCTGTAAGGTGCTCTGCACTGTGAGATGGTAAAGGTGGGGAAGAGGTTTGTCCCTAGGGGGGTTGAGGAGGGAAAATCAACCCAAAAGATGCAAGAGAGCTGGGGAAAGGCTGGCTCCAGAGGAGGACAAGAGCATCCTGGGAAACAGCTCTGCCATTCTTTGTCTCCTGAGCAACCTCCGAACAACCCTCTAGTCCAGCTCAGTCAGGAGCGAGCCAAGCCTGCCCCAGGGCAGTGTCAAGCCTGGTGCTGTGAGCCCAGGCTGCACCCTACCAACCCAGTGGGCTGTACGTGGGGCCAGTGTTTCACTCATGGCACAGCCACAACACCAAAACGGGCAGATCCCCACAGGCAGGAAGTTAGTACTGCTCCTGAAGGGCACAACCATGGTCTGAACAGCAAGGAAGCATCCGAGGCTCCAGCAAAAGGGATTCTGATTAGCAATTGAGGGTTTTGCATCCCAAAGGAGGATTCAGGAAACCTGAACCTCCAGTCTTCATGCTGCAGGATGCAAACAGCCCTCCATAAAGCCCATCAAAAGGGAGCAAGGTGTTCCCATGCTACCCTCCCTGTTCCCTCCCAGAGGGCAGCTCTAACCTGTCCACGTAGTTGGTGGTCATGAAGACAATCCTGGCCTCTGTGGAGGCCACACCATCCAGCGCGTTGAGAAGGCCGCTGAAGGTCAGGCGCCCCATGCCTTGGTATGCAGCCGGGTCTGGGGACAGAGGTGTCTGAGATCATATCCACTGGCCACTAACCCTGTGCAGACTTGCAGGCCACCTCCCTATCACCTGAGGCTTAAGCCAAGCTCCCCGTTCTCTCCTTGTCCTGAGGCTGATCCTCTGCATCTCCCTGGCTGGCAGCACATTCACCTCCCCTGGCCACCCACACCCCTGGGAACCCAAAGAGAATGAGGGGGAAAGCCAGCCCCTCCCTCATGATGAAAATAGCTGGGCAGGAGAAGTGTCTTTGCCTAAGGATAAAAGATCTGAATTTCCCTTATATAGCCTAGCCAAACCCGGGTGAGTTCCAGCTTGAGCTCTGAAGCCCCAGATTGCTGTCCACTCCTGGTCTCTGCTGGTGCAGCAGAGCAGCCTGGAGTCCAAACCTTTCACCAGCACAGCCAGCAAACCTCTCTCCCACTGCTGGCCCAGGAGTCGGGGCACCACTCACTCTCAGCAGTGAGCTCCCGGCTGACGAAGGCAGCATCCACGTCCTCCAGCAGGATGATGCTCTGCTGCGGTGCCACGCTCAGGAGATGATTGAGCCGGTCATCGGCGAGGCTGTGGTCACTGAGGCTCAGCAGGCAGATACTGTACTGCAGCTCCCCAGCCAGGGCTGTGCTGGGAAGGGCACAAACCACAGGGTGAATCACAGCGAGAAAGCCCAGAGCAGAGGAAGAACTGGATGTCCCTGTCCAGCAGCAGGGAATAGGGCAGAGGCATCCTCTCCCCCAGTGGGGATCAGATATGGGGGGCAGGTGGGAGCCCCTGCTCAGCCTGCTGGTGCCATGCCATGCTGTGCAAAGCAAGGGTGCTAAGGGCTTGTCACCCTGACCTGTCACAGCGCCAGCAACACAACGCTGACACCAGGCACCACACAGGAGGCACAGCCCAAGCCTGCATTTCAAACCCAAACTTATCCACACCCTCTCAGCAGAGACTGCTGCGCCCCAGAGCAGGCAGCTGTCGGGAGAGCTGCTGTTAGCCAGCTGGAAATACTCACATGAAGCTGCTTTTCCCACAGCCAGGAGGACCATACAGCAGGTAACCTCTTCGGTAGGGGATGCCTAGGAAGACAGCGTCCTTTTAGGAACCAGCTGGGTTGCTCTGAGCAATCTCCCAGAGCTGTGGGGCTGTGCTGAGCACGCACAGAGGCTGCACCAGGGGAAGGCAAGCAGCAGGGAAAGATCTTGGCAGCCATCTCCAGAGAGGACCATGGACATCCTGTCCCACCCCACAGCAGCGTCACAGGAGCAATGAACTCTGTGGCTTATCGTAGTTTCCAGGACTGGATTGAATCAAGGGGAGTTTGTCCCTTTGCAGACCCAAGCCTCAGCACCTGAGCTCACTCATTTATGGGATGTGCCCAAGGTGGTGCCCCAGAGCCGTGGCTGCAGTGTGTAAGGAGTCACACTGGGCATGGTACAGAGGACACCACAGGGAAGACTTGCCTCTCTCGCTGTACCACTTGGGGTTATCGATGAAGTCCTTCACGTCCTGGACCAGCCTCTCCGACACACCTTCCTCCAGTACCACGGAGCTGAGAGGCCGCCGCCGGCGGGGGAAGCCAAACTGCCGCCACTCGGCTCCCATGGCTGTGTACATGATCGTCTTCCCCTCCTGCTCCTGTAACGCCATCTCCCGGGCTGTAGAGAGAGGCAGAGGGGACAGCTGGCAGGGAAAAGAATCACTCATGAAGCCCTGGGCATCTCCAGGGAGCAGGCTGTTCCCATCAGGACCCCATGCAGCTCCCCTACAGACCTTCCTGGAGGATATTGAAGAAGATCTCCCGGTCAGTGCCCAGCGCAGTGAAGGTGACAGACTCCCAGGGACTCCCCGTGTGTAGGTCGATCATCTGCATCTCCCGGTTGCGCTCGATGCGAATCCACTTCCCGCGATACCTGGGGTGGGATGGTGGAGTTGGGGGACAGTGCTCCAGCACCACTCAGCTGCACCCAGCCCAGTTCATGCATCAAGGACCACACTCATCTCAGGTAAAGCAAACTGTCAGTATTGATCCTAGAGCACCTGTGCCTACTGCACTGAACTGTCAGTACTGTTCCTAGAGCACCTGTGCTCTATTAATTAAACCTATAAAACAATATATATTTATTAATTATTCCTGCTTTTAATAATATCCTAAGAGAAAAGAGTTTTTCTAAAGCTTGTTCCTTTTGCCTCACACAGTAAATATAGACTACTGTCACTGCTCTCAATCTCCTGCCCTAACCAAGACCCAAGGAGGACACAAGATTCTCTCT